TGCACCATAGGTTTGCCATCACGGCCCTATACCATTTCAGACAAATGGGTGCCTAATGTCTTCTTACAAAATCTCCAGTGTTGGAGTAACCACACCTCTGGAAGCAAGCTATTGCACTGATTAATTGTTCTGTCAGGAAATTTCTCCTTAGTTCTAGGTTATGTGTTATGTGTTGTTATGTCAATTTAAAATCAATAATGTATTATTATTTCAATTACATACATTTAGGCTTTAGCAAAAAATATAGCACTGGAGGTCCCCAAATGTTTCTTATACACCGAAGCATTCGGCAATGCCATTCAGTTGTGCATCTTTCCATTTTTCCACCCATGCCATTGTATGCAACCATATAATACATATGGAAGAAGAAAATCTATTTCAGCAGGGGCTTCCATGTTCATTGGCAGTTCTGTGTCAAATGAGATCCCCAAAATACTTTGAACAAGTTGCACAGGAATACGGAGTATGACAATGTTGAGAAAATTTGCACCTGGTGGAATGTATTTCAGTGCAGCTATTACAGGCACAGGAGCTCTTTGGCAACTAGTCTTGGCAACCCAATGTCTAATGCAATGCATGAGTGAGCAGCACGAGCCTCTTGGACTTAATGATGGTCGTCAACACTCCCCCCCCCCCAGAAACATCATTTATTCTCCTCTAGTTATAGCTCTTAGTACATCTTTCTTTCAGAAGATAATTTCTGGAACTCCAGCGCCCCACAAGTCTCACTCACTCTATAGTCTACCAGCTGTTCCTGGACTGAGCAATCAGATGGGGAGATGTTCAGCTTCAGGGCTTCTAACTGGCACTTTCTTCCTCTCCTTTTCTTCTTCCTTGGTTCACTCCTGATTGTAATGGCTAATTTCAGTTTAGGCTTATTTTAAAACAGTCTTTGTCAATCTGGCATTCTCCAAAAAAGGACTGAATTACAAATCCCATTTCCCGCAGGTTTCTAACGCTGCTAGCTGGAGATGATAGAACCTGTAGTCCAATGCACCTAGAACAAATATTGCTGCTCTGGAAATAGCCCCACCCAACGTTTACTTGAAAAGAAAATGAGCCCAACTTTTCTTCTTTATCACATTTATGGTGTACCATAATATAAAAGTAACATAACATATAACATAACATAATGTAACATCACACCATATCACACCACATCATACCACACCACACATCACAACATGTCACAACTATAAATGAAATTGTGTGAAGGTGCGGTTGTCAGCACACACTGAACCATAGAGAATAATGAAAGTATTGGACAAGATTTCCAGGGATCTAAGACCTCATTCAGACGTTAAGCTTGCTAGAGGATTTTGGGCTACTCACTGTCATTCAGTTTAATATTTCATAGAAGGAGGTAGAAACTGCTTATATAAGCTTCATCTCCTTGGAGGGTAGGCAGGATATGAATAGTGATAATAATCTTAGTTTGTATTAAAACGGTAATAGTGCCACTACCATAATTCCCCAGATTTCTAAGGATTTGATTTTCTGCAGCCTTTCTGTATTATACTTCCCATTCAACTCTAAATTTCAACAGGGCTTCTAGCTACTTAAATAGGATACAAAGGTAAGTTGCCTTCAAGCCAAGCTCAACACTGGGTGATTTCATGGACACATCATCCATGTACCGGTAATTTTCTTGGCAGTGACAGAGAAAGCAATCTCTTGCCTTCTTCTGGAGTGCTCTTCATATTCCCAGGCTATTGCATGGTCCTTGTATTTCTTGGGAGTACCCCATCCATTTATTAACCAAGCTTGACCCTGCTTCACTTCTAATCCTACAAAAGGTTGACCAGATGTTTACACCTGCTGAGAAAATACAAGCCGCACCTCTTAAGAAATTTCCCAGGTAGAGTCAGCCTATTTTTAAAAGCTGTGAATTTGAGGCAGATAGACAATTTTCATTTTAGGAATGGAAAGCCTCCCCAGTCCCCACCATCTGTAAGATCAGACAGGGTAGCTGAATCTAAAAGTGCATGGAGATAAAGACATATCCACAAACTCGGTTGTTAGGGAACCACTGTATGGGGGTGGGCGATTGCTGTAGTCCTCCTTCAGTGGGCTTCCCACAGATAATTGATTCATTTCTATGGAACAGTCTAAATGTGACTTTTTTTTATTGGACTATCCATCCATTCCCTTCCCTTCTCTCCACCGATGGCTTCCTTCCTTCCTTTCTCTTTCAGTTGCTTCTTCTTTTCCTCCCTCCTGTTCCTACACTTTGTTTGCCCCCATCTGTGTCCCCTCCCTCCCTTTCCCCAGCAACTCAAGCAACCATTTGGCTTTTTATCCTGGGGCTGATGGTCAGCTTCCTGATGAGTCACTCTATTTCAGGCCAAACGAATGTCCTGAGGTGGTTGGGATTGTAAAATGCCTTGAGAAGAGCTTGGCAGGAAAGAGTAACAGCACAGTGTAGAGGGAAGTGCTTTAAAACATTTGCAAACATGGATACAACAGTGCCAGACTGTGAGGAAGACATTTTCCTTAGGACTTCAAAAAAAGTGCTGTTATTTGCTCCAGATAAAGCCATCACTACTTGCACTGAAGGTGACTGGAGTCAATAATGAGGCATCCTTATTTATGCCAACACTGGGCTGCAGCATTCTCAGTGCTGCTTAGCAGAGACCCAAGGCAATAATCCAGGACATTCAATTGCACTATTTTCCTCTCATGTTGCAAAGACAGGCCCAGTGCCAGGGTGGGCAAGCTTTCTCATTCCCTCTGCACCACAGAGCTCTGCTTAAGATTCATCCAAATCCCGTTCTACCTGTCTCAGCACCAGCCCCTTTTAGGAGGGCCCTTAGAGGATGCAGTCCCTGATGTGCTTGCAGCGAACACCACAAAAATGTAGGTCCCTGCATGGGTGTGAGATTAATAGCTGGCAAAGTCCTGGATGGTTCATGTGCAAACTCTATTAACAAGGCTAATTCCCCTCAGGCAGCAGGGGTAGGCCAATGCCTCCCTGCATGCCCAGATAAACTGGAGAAAATACCTGCTGAAATTTCGTGTCAGGCTTGCTTTGCTTTGTGGCATGCCTCTTCCCCTCCCCAACTCTGAGGGGACAGGAAGCAACCCCTCCCAAATGTTCTGCATGCTGAATGCATGCTGATAATATTCAGTCACATTTCCATCCAAGTCTATCTCCATTTGCATTCTTTCCGGCATTCTCCTGTGAATTATATGAATCTTAAAAACCGAACTGGAAAGAAAAAGAGAGAGAGACAGAGACAGAGACACATGGCCAAACAGAATCTGTTGCTGATATTTTGCTTTTGGACTGTGGAATCTGAACTTGCACTGTTCAATACCAAGGCATGCCGATATCTGCCCTAGGGCATCTAAAATACAGGTGGCCCTTGCTTAATGACCACGCATCCAATTTAGCCACTGGCAAGGTTCAGATTTGCCAGTATGCTGAACAAATGGTACTTATGAGTAGTCTTTGGAGTTCCGGCTGTTACAGTATTCCTGTGGCCATACGATTATGGCCCGGGGGCTTGGCACCCGACTCATAATTACGATGTTGCAGTGTCTCGTAGTCATGTAGTTGCCATTTGTGACCTTCTTTGCCAGCTTCCAACAAGCAAAATCAATGGAGAAGCTGGCAGGAGGCTACAAATGGCGACCATGTGACACCCTCACTTAGTGACCCTCAGTGATTCACTTAATGATGGCAACTAGGACTTCTGGAATTTCCAGTGCTAAGTGGTTCAGTCATGTGGCATTACATTTACAATCATGTTGCTCAGTGAAAGCAATTCTGATCCTCTTTGCCCTTCTTAACTGAAGACTACTTATAGAAGAAAAAACTCTTTCAAATCAAAAAACCCTTCCTCCTTGGTATCTATTTGGGCATGCCCAAGTTGTTTTCTTGACAATATTACTAGCCTAGGATTCCCTATTTCCTACTTTGCTTAGCTTTTGGAAGATCAACAAAAGCCAGCAACAAGCTTTTATTTCTAGATTCACTAATCAGGAATAGGAGCAAATAGTGGCACAAATTTTTAAAAAAATCTGCATAGAGAATTAAGAAAAAGGGGACCTCTGAGGATAGCATTTTGTGATCACTAACAGCCAATTGGGCAACTATTTACACAATAATCCATTTCTGGATTCCCACCAAGCACTCTTTTTCAATGGCTTCAGCGGGAGAAGGAATGTATTTAATTGTTAAGCAACTGAGAAAATGGAATCTCTTCTTATTCACAATGTACCTCAAACTATGCTGAGGAATAACTCCAAGTCGAGATAGGTACCCCCCTCCCAGAGAAGTGGATCATTCATTTCTAGGCCAGGGAACATCTGTGAAAGCTTGACCTCCCCTCTCCCTCACTCTACATAGAAAGGGCTAAAGAGTCATCTCTGTCTTCCCCCCAGACTTTCTGAGATTTGCCTTAGGGGTTTCTAAGATCTGCACATAATGCAGATTCAGTTCCTAATAGTACAAATGCAGATTCTTGCATGAATTTATTTATTTATTAGATTTTTTATCCCACCTTTTTAATTGATAAGTAACTTAAGGTGTCAAACATACTGTATCCCCTCCTCCCCCTATTTTCCCCACAATAGCAATCCTGTAAGGTGGGTTGAGAGAGAGTGATTGTCCCAAAGTCACCCAGGCAGCTCTCAGGTCTAAGGTGGTACTAGAACTCACCGTCTCCTGGTTTCTAGCCTGGTGCCTTAGGTGCGATTTAGACTTCTGTGCCAATGCATGTCAGGGAATGTATTCTTCTGATATTTGTCCAGTGCTAGTATTACACTTACACTGTCATGGGCCTGGATAACCTCTTACTCTTTGTCATCTAGTAGCTGCCCAAAATTTTGTAGCACGTATCTGGGAGCCTTAGCCTAAAACAATCCCTAAACAAATTTGTTTCTTCACTCTATAAGGCACACACAACATATTTCCATCTACCTGCAGTACATAATCTACCTGCCCTTCTTTGGCTATTTGCTGGCTGGGATGAAGGAAGTCAGGGCAGGTTACTTACCGTGACTGTTTTTATTCGTCCCAGTTGCCTAGTACAACTCCAGCCAGAACGATTGATTAATAAAGTGCATTGCTCCCCTTCAGCACAGGGCTCCATCCCACACCACTGTTTATTAACAATGATCTGGGCTGCCGGACACCAGCAGAGAAGTCAAAGAAGAAGGAAACATTGAAGGTGAGGAAGGGAAAGAAAAGAGAGGAAAGAAAATTAGGCACACATTTAACAGAATTATCAATAAAAGCATGAGACTTAAAGCCTTGTCATTCATTTTACAGTGCAAACTTCCAGTTAAGCCAAACTGAGATGTCTAGGAATTGTAGTCTGAAAACATTTGGATGACCTCAAATTTGGGGAAGCTCTCATCCTTCCAAATGAGACTCTCTGGTCCCTGCAGTAAGCTGCCCTCCCCCCCTCCACTTCTGAGAAGGGATCTCCTAGGATGGAGCTAGAATGAACAGAGAGTTAAGACTGCAGGGCTCTGAGCACCAACTCTCCAGAACAGAATGAATTTGTGTTAAATCACTTGGAATTCTGCTGTGGATTTATTTATTTTTTTGCCATTGAGAAAAATGTTTCAAAAGAGAGGCCAACTGTACTGAGAAAAAACAGAAGCTGTGAAATGAGAAAAAAGCAGTGTGGAGGAGCACTGTAAGGGGTTAAATGCAGAGCTGCAGAACAGGGATTACATCTATGGTGCTTTCTGCTGCAACTCCTTCAAAAATGAAATAACCACCACCTGTAGGCTCAGAATAGCCTCACGTTCACCATACATATTCACCCACTCACAGGCCCCGTATATTTCTCCCCCCCTCCCCACATAGCAACACTAGGGAGCATGTTACTGTTGCACAACCACAGCACGTAGCAACACAAGATAACAGATGCCTGTATTCCAAAACCTCAGGAAAGCAAGGCCTGGAAAAGAGCTTTTTGCCATCACACATTCAAGTCAGTAATGCTGGCTACCCACCAGCAGTGAGCAACTTTTGATCTCTCCAGGGCTACATCTTCCAGGAATAAAAAGTTGGGGAGAGGGGCTGTGTGCCAATGGCCGAGGAAGCCAAAGCAAGCAGATTTACGAGTTAGATTGGCTAATTCTTTCACTGCTTCTTTTATCTCTGATGAGTGGAAGAAGGCAGAGTAGATGTTTTTGGTCCAAAGTCAGGGTGGGCCAAAGGCTTTGGAAATTAAGCTGCAAGGGACTCGATAGTAAGTCAAGAGCCACATGTGGCTTTAGCAGCTCAGGTTGTTGACTTTTGATTTAGGCAGTGGCTGGGTCTTCTGCAATCACATGTATTTCTTTAATGCTCCACAACACGTTGATTCAGAAGAAGCAGAGTTCTGCTTGTTCAGGAAGGAAGGAGGGAGAAAGTGCTCTACAGCCATCTGAAAAATATTCCCTGGGAATTCTCCAGATTAGTAAGAGGGGAAATGGAGGGGACCTCAGGGGAAAGGGGACCAAACCGAGGTTGCCTTCCTATCAGAAACAGGACCCCTTCCACTCATGGAAAAGCTACTGGAAATCACAATCCAGCTGCTCCGTTCAGCTGTTATGGTCATAGTCATAGCACAGAATCTATACTCTCTCACATATCCACATTTACACCCACACATATTCCAGTCTTGTTTGTGCATCCAAAAATAGAGAGAACTGTGTGAGAACTACCAATAAGAGCTGCCCCCTTTGACCTCACTCAGAGGAGGTTGACCTGCTGAAGATTTTCACAGATAAAACAGACAGATCTGCAGGGGGAAACCTATATGGGTGTGCTTACAAATACACTACTGTCCACACCCGGAAGCCCTAACTCTTGCTCACATGGGACACACAGAGATTTCCCAGTGCCCACCAACACCAGATATCATGAGGCTGGAGGTCCCTATTCTGAACACATTGGTAGTGTTTCAAAAATCAGGAATCCCCCTTCAGATGAACACCAACCCCTAAACAGGCATTAGTGAACTGCCTACAGTGATGGACTGATCAAAAATAAGTTCTGATGGATCTCCTCAGTGGGAGAGAGAGGTGTTGCAACAAGAATGTAAAGTAACTCTGAATCAGGCAAAAATCTCATAAATGAACAGTGTTACATGCCAGTTGATTTTCTTGAATTGTAATGTAATTCCAGGGGGGGGGGGAATCTGTATTTATTTTTTTTTTGCATGCACTTAGTCTGGGAGTTTGCTGTTAAATCTCGTTAAACACTGCCTGATTTCTTTTTTTAATAGAATGATCTAATAACACAAACAGAAATCTGTCTCTGCCAACACCAATTTGTCTATTGTTGGACAAATAGTAACAGTGTTATAAATGATTAAGGGCAATCGTTTGGTTCCAAACATGTCCAAACACTGGCAAAGGAGGAGTTTTTACGGGTCCATTTTAGTAAGTGCCTTGATCAAATCCAAAGGCAGGGTACCAATTCCTTCAAAAGGTCACAGAAGACAAATGCCTCATCTCTTGTGTTGATTAGTGATGACAAAACAACCTCCCACCCGGATTTTTTGTTGTTGTTGTTGTTTTTCCCTTGAGTTACACTAACAAAACTCAATAATTTTCTAAACTTTAAATTTCTGAGAACGCCCCTTTAGCTTTAGCTCACAATGCAGCCACTGGAATGGAAAAGTCATTACCCTCATGGGTCCCTGCAATGTTTCTCAGCCATTTGTATGAAACCGCTGGTCGTCATGGGCCAGATTGATGGATCTTTGGTGCAATCAAACAAGAGTGAAGGCAGCCTTGCTTTCTTACCATCTACACAGGCAGGTTTCGCTTTTGTTGTTCCAGCAACTTGTCCTCTTCGACAGGCACACCGTGCTGTCTGTCGGGCAATCATCCTTTTGGGATGGCTCATATCTCTATCCAGGGCTGTGATCTCACATGTCCCCACCTCCAGCTCCTTTCCTATTGGGATAAAAGACACACACAAAAAAAGCAGGAAAATAATGCAGCCTATTTATCAGAAAAGGAGATCAGGAGCTTGGACCCTGGGTCCTAAGCTAAAGAGAGTCCCTGTGGTGGCAACAGCTCTAATTTGTACAGGTGCCTCAGAAAAAGATGGCAGGCAATCAATTCAATTGAGTAGAAGCAAATAGTTTTTGAATCTAACAGATGGGAGTCCAACAAAATCAGTTTTGCAGACATGATGAGCAAGTACGCTAAATGACTATGCAAAACTGTATCAACATCTTCTATGTAACTTCGGCTAAAGGATAATGTTGTGTACATTCATACAAATTCACAGACCACACATGGGCGTACAAATTCAGCCCCTTCTCCTGTAACACATTGGCATCCAGATATGCCTACGGATAACTCTTGCAATATTACCAACAGAACTGCTGTGCTGTATTTCTTTTATTGGCTGGGAGGATATGATTATTTCTAAGGTGCTGGGGGTTTCGTATGCTCCCACACTGGAAAACGTGAGCCTATTCAAGCTTGGCTTGCTGGCTAACCTAATAAACTCTCCTAGCCAAACAAGAGGAAATTCCAAAGCCATTAATCTGCACTACAGTGTTATGATTCATGCTGCAAGCTTTATTTATTTATATATTAAGATCATGTCTTTGGTCTTCCTTTGCAAGGTCAAGGCAACATAGATACTCCCTCTTCCAATTTTATCCTCATTTTAAAAAGTCTAGGTGATAGTTGCCATATAAGAATTGAAGCATTTCAATCTTAGTTTAATACCCTAGCTGTATCATCATCTTTGGATATGACAGAGAATACTGAAGCATTTTCCACCTCTTGTCTTAGAGCCACAGAGACTGAATTTTAAAGAAATATTAGTTTACCATCATTGCACAGCCCACATTCTGTTTAAGCATTCATAAATCCAAGTTAAGGTTTGCTTGCCAAATAACCCAAAAAAGGTTGTATTCACACAACTAATTAAATCATAAGCTACGGTATGCTTTGCACACCATAATAGTGGGATCACACCATTCGTTATACCAAAACTAAAGAAACATTTTGCAACTTAAGTGTGTGATATGAGAAACAGACTAGAATCCAGATCTTCAGTTAGAAAACCACTTTCAGCATAATGACCTTTTATCTTTCTTTCCTTTCTCCACCCAAGAAAGTCCATGATAGAACTGGGCAATGACAAAGCTACCTTGTGTTAATATTCATATTTTTCCATATTGATTTCTTCCTTGTATAACAGGTTGGCCAGATATTGCTTCTTAAATTATTGACTCCCTAGACTCGCCTTCTGGATTAAAAAAAGAAGAAAAAAATCACATGGATTTGTTCCACAACTATAGGCATTCTTGCTAATGGCCTGCTATTAACTGCTGTTTAGGCACAAACACGGAGTTTTCCTTCCTGCAAACGTTACCCAATTTGACTAATAATCTATTCTGGACTATTTTGGTAATCTGTCTGAATTCCTGCCATATTTTGGCATAAGTGGTGGGTTTCCAATATTCTTACTACCAATTCGCGGGCCATCCGCACATGCGCCCGGCCTTACGTGCATGTGTTTTGCTCACACGTGCATGCGCCTGGCCTCAAAAACGTGGCTAAATAGGATGGTATTACATCCGGGCAGGTGGGCGGGCCTGGGTGTGTGCTCGCAGTTGGCGCTACTGGTTCGCCTGAATCGGTCCGAACCAGCTGAATACCACCTCTCTTTAGCATGCTCTAAATATAAAATATTTGAAGTATATGCATACTGTATTTATAATCCAACCATTTTAAATAGGTTCAACCCCTTATCTGTTTCCTTGCTTCCCTTATTTAGGTGAGTAGCAACAGTTTCTCATTTCTTCAGTTCTTCTTCTTCAATGGCATTTTTATAAAGGAAACATACGAGATCACTTCTATTTATACAGGCATATACGGCAGCCTTTCCATATTTTTTTGAATTGTAATATACATGTTCAATCTCTGGCTTGCTCATTCTCCTAGAGCGAGTTATTTGTTATCTGAATAAGTAGATCAGAGAGGCTAAGGCATTTCTATTAGAACTACATTTGCTGGATGTGATTTACCGTGCTACCCGTTCTTTTATTATTTTTGCTACATGTGATGACTTAGGTCCTGATCCTCTCCGACTGTTTTGCGCTACTGGTGTCATAAAGGCATATATTCATCATCTCTTGGGCTTTCCCATGCAATAAGGATCCATACCCTCCAGCATCAGCCTGTTGAACTGCCTGCCTGGGTTGTTCTTGTGAGGGAATTCCTGTAATCCAGCCTTGCGAAGAGAATGAGGGGATGGATATGGGGTGAACCTCGGTTGCATGTAATTGTGCAATGGAGCCTGTGCTCAGGGACTTTAGCCCATCAGACCCTAGTGCTCTTCTTGCAAAACCTTCAAAAACCTGGTTTTAAAGGGCTATATGTGAAGGGTGAATCAGATTTGGGTGCTATCTACTAACTTGCAGGCAATTTGAATATGGTGCAGGCACACACAGCTTTCTCTATATCTTTCTGGTTTTGTATCTGAAGTCAGACACATGGCCATTTAGAATAGAGTAGGGTAGGGTAGGGTAGGGTAGGGTAGGGTAGGGTAGGGTAGGGTAGGGTAGGGTAGGATAGTTGGAAGGGACCTTGGAGGTCTTCTAGTCCACACCCATGCTTAGGTAGGAAACCCTATAGCTGTGATGGTGAACCTATGGCATGCATGCCTGAAGTGGCATGTGGAGCTATGTCGCCTGGCATGTGCAGTGTTGCCCGTTCTTCTTTGGGGTTTCTGGCGCGCATGTACATGCGACGATCACCTGGCCTTTGTGCTTGCATCAATGCCGGAAACCAGAAGAGCTGGTCTTCCATTTTCCAGTGTAAGCATGTATGCTGGCCAGCTGATCGGCGCATGTGCAGCAGTAACCTGAAGACTTGCGAGCCGGTGCACATGTGTGCATCAGAAACAGGAAGTACATTTTCCACTGTGCGCTCGCCAGCTAATCGGCATGCACATGCACAGCAATAACCTGAAGACTTGCCGGCAGTAACCTGAAGAAACCGCAAGTACATTCTCCAGTGCATGCATGCCCCTGGGCAACTCCTATTCCTGGTCTCGGCCCTGACGAGCGTGTGCGCACTCCCTTTTCGGCACTTGGCGCCGAAAAGGTTCACCATCACTGCCCTATAGCATTTCAGACAAATGGTTATCCAATCTCTTCTTTAAAACATCCAGTGTTGAAGCATTTACAACTTCTAGAGGCAAGTTGTTCAACTGATTAATAGTTCTAACTTAGGTCAGGGGAGAGGAATCTTTTAAGGGCAAAGCAATGTGTTGGGGGCTATACAGGTAGAGAGGAATGTTCAGTTCAGGACGATAACAGCGCGTGGGGCTAACAACTTCACCCTCAACCCTCCTCCTTCAACCATCCTCATGCATTTTGTCTCTTGTGTAATTTCTTTCCCATGCTGTGCGCAACAGGCAAAAGCCATCCTCCGTCAATGCTGACTGGAGAAGTTTTAATTCTGCTCTTCATCATATTCTCCTTCTTCCAGCTGATAACTGATTAGCTGGATTATGGGCAAAAACAGGTGGGGCTGCTTCCTGGGGCTTTACAGTCCATTTCAAGAGCCACTTTGACCTCTGTACAGCTTGCCAACTTCAAGTTTCCAAATTATGATTTAACTTATGACTACCAGATCTTTAATGACCTTCACAACAATAACCTTACTAGCAAGAATTCCTCCAGATGTTTTAGACGGACAGGAATGCTGAAAAATATTGTATCCGTACATAGCAGTTGTTCACTGTGACAGCTTTTTAAGGAATGCTATAAAATGCCCAATTCATGGATCAAATATCATTCAACAAATGGAAAATAAGCCCCTAACTCTTCATGATCTGCCCATGTTCTAAGGGCTTGAGATATATTTGTATAGCGCAGTAGACTGGAAAGAGCTACTCTGCAAAAGCTTAGCAAGAAAACATATCTATATGGGCTAATTTCTTCAACAAGAACACTGTTGAAACCAAAGTTGGGAGAAAACTGCAAACATTCTATTTCAGTGGTGGAGATGTGCAGGCTAGGTTGAGAAAACATTGCTATCCCAAAGCCTTAAAGAACCATAGCCAGCCAACACCAAAAATCGTGTTTTCAATATTCTTAAAAATACTGAACAGAAAAAGTATGAACTGCTCTTCTCAATGTTTTTATTTTTTTTAAAAAAAGAAATGTATCCAGCAGTTTATTTCTGGGCTGCGTACAAACACTCGGTTGAGTGGTTTTTCCCCTAACACCATTTTCTACAATGCTTGTGCAGACACTTCAAGGAACACTACTTCATTCTAGTTCACTAAAGGCCATGTAAAGTACCTGAAGAAAAATGCATTTGTGATTACACCTTTCTACCTACTCCTTGCCTATAAGTAGATATTATAGAAGAGTTGTACCATTTGAAGCAATTCAGAAAGCAGAGAGGGATGAGGCTAAATCAAAATGAACACAGAATGAAGAACTGAGAACAAATAGAAAATTTTGAAAAATATTGATTAAAAAAGGTAAATGCTTCCATTACTTTAATTGACTATCTAAAGAATGAACAAAGTACACCATATTAAGGGATAACTACATTCATGCGCAATTTTTAACCGATGACCACCAGATTTGGGCTGTAACAATCAGGATGACCTCTAGAAGGCAGCAAAGAGATGCATTGAGCTGTAACTCTTTCCTGCCATCAACTGGATATTTGCAACCAAGATACAGTAGTCCCAAACCACACCAAGCAAACCCATTTAGAAAGATCTTCCACCACCTGATATCCTTCAGAAGTGTTGGTCTACAAAGTCTACCATCCTTATACAATATTTTTTTAATGATGGGCGCTATTGCTCAATATTGTTACAAGGACTGCTTCTGAGTGGAACAGGCAGGCAGACTTAAAAGATTAACAGTTCTTGTAAACATGAGATGGGCTGAAGTTTAAGTAAA